TTGAAAAGCAAATACACGAGTTTTCCACCATTCTCAAATATTTATCTCCGCAAATAAATAATTTTTTATCTGTCGCAAACAACTTTTTTGTAACTTTAAAATTTTTAAACATTATCACGTTCTCAATCATGTTTCACTATTTAATGCTTTCGAATTCAAACTCAACTGAATTGGTTATGGTTACAAATGGTTTGAAAGATATTCAAAGAAATAGTAATATTCTGACCGATCGATTACATCCGGTCAACATTGTGCGATCATTCAAATTCAGTTACAATGTAATAAAATAGGTATCCGGTGAAACATATCCTTCAACCAAACACTGCCACCACAGGATTATCCGGTTCTTTACTTTTAATCTGTTATATCCCAGTAGCTCAGTAATCAATCCTATCCTATGGATTATATCTTTCTTTGAAGATAATGAATTTTTCCATCAAGCCCGATAAAGGATAAACTTCCTTTCTCTAATACTTATTCAAATGCACCTGCAAATTCTCTGTCAACTTGAACCATGGTCCACGCCCGACCATCTCCGATTTTTTTTAAATTTGAACAGTAAGTACCTCAATGTATTTCATCGACAAAATAAAATTTTTATAAAAAAATTTCAATTATTTTTCAAGTTATGAAGATTTTTGTGACAGCATCCTCAAATTTTTGAGCGATTTTTTTCAAAACTTGTACCTACTTAGAACGCTATATCTCTTGAACTAGCCAACATATCTTGATGACATTTTTTGTGCATATCAGTGAAACAATGTAATAACAAAAAAAATAAATGTTATTGTCTCGAATCAAAGGATATTTTGAACAAAAAATCTAGAAAAAAATGAATTTTTTGAAAATTTCACCGATTTCAAAACAGCGTAGCTCAAAATCTATCGCAAAATAAATAAATATTTTTTGTTATTTTAGAAGTACCTTATAGTCACAAATAAATCACAAAATTTCGTTAAAATCTGTATTGAATTTTTTGAGCTATCGGAGCTCAAAATGTCAAAAATATGAAAAACTTCTTTTGTTTGGCGCCATTTTTAACTATGAAGAACCAAACGTTTTTTAATTTTTAAAATTTGTTTATATAGTGCTTTTATAGCTTAACAACATATCAAAAAATAAAATTGGCGTTTGCTTTCTTTGAAAAATAAAACAACTTCAAAAACAGGCAAAACAAATTTTTTTCAAGTGTCAATATTTTTTTCAATTTAAAATTTAAAATTTAGAATGTATGTTACACAGATGTGAGGAATGCCCAGGAAAACTGAGTGTCGAAAATAACTTAAGAGCGATTTTCGAAGAAGCTGTAATTTCCCATGATGATAATCGCAGTTCATTGATTTCCGTACAGGATACAGTTGACAGTTTCATTGAAAGATTTTCGCAAAAACTTGACGAGTTTTCATCGCATCATTACATAAGCAAAGAACAATTGAAATATCTTAGCGATTCTAAAAAAATTTAAAAAGTTCGGAGTGTATTGCTTTAATGGATTTTGCTGAAAATTATTTGGTGATAATACAGGATGCAATCCAGAGTCAACATTGGAGCAACACGCAAGTTACTCTTCACCCAATTGTTCTTTATTACAGAAAACTTATTTATTTATTTATGAAAACTTATCTGTCAAAAGCGTTTGCATGATTAGCGACTGTCTCGATCACAATGTTTCCGATGTTTATGCTTTTCAAAAACATTTAATTAACTATGTAAAACAAAACCTGAAAAACGTTACTTTAATTAAATATTTTTCTGATGGTGTGGTAAGTCAATACAAAAATTTTTCTAATTTAATTCATCACAAAGAGGATTTTGGATTAAAAGCAGAATGGCACTTTTTTGCAACTTTTCATGGTAAAAGTCCTTGCGATGGAATTGGAGGGACAACAAAAAGATTGGTTGCAAGAGCAAGTTTGCAGGCATCAACAAAAGATCAGATATTGAACGCCAGAGATTTTTACACATACGCTGATGCGAAAATAAATGGTATTAAATTTTTTTGGGTAGACAAAAAAGAAATTAAAGATCTGCTAGGAATGCTTGAAAAAGATTTAGGTCAGCAGATAAAATAAAGGGTTGTCGAAGTCATCACTCATTTATTCCAGACAAAAATGATCAACTTTTGATGAAACGTTTGTCTTCAGATTTATTTGGATACAATTTTAATAAAAATGAAAGTGAAGACACCAATGATGATTATGAGCCGGGTCGATTTGTAGCTTTGGTCTATAATAAGAAATGGTATTTAGTAAACATTATAAAAAGAGATGATAAAAATGATGATTTAAAAGTTAACTGTCTGAAGAAATTTAAA